TATATATATATATAGGATGTCCGGAAAATCGAGGTCAATACTTCGGGAAGTGATTCGCAAGCCAAAAAGGAAGAAAAAAAAGCTATATAAATATAACTATACAATCATAATTTATTTTACAGTGTATAATTATTTTTTAATACATATACATCAAATGTCAAATAAGGAAAAACAACATCGCCGTTGTTTAAAATAAAATTATAGGATTATTTTTACATAATATATGATCACTCTAGACATTTTTTTATAATTTATATTATTGGCAAAAATGTAGGTTTCTGGGCGTCTAAGCAACCGAATCCTCTATCAGGCGAATGCGTGGACGTCGCCTTGACGGACAACCAGCAAACGTGGGAATTGACCACGTGCGAGTCACTTCTTCCTTTCATGTGTCGCGCCGACGCCTGTCCTTCCGGTAAGTCCGTTCACGTAAATTGCAGACGGTGTAAGCGGTCGCATAACGGCCGACGCGAGCTCTGTTCTCTATATTTCACGTGGAACGGAATGATAATCCGCCGTGACGGGATAACTCTACAGGTTCGTTCCACTGCTCGAATGGCAAGTGCATCAACGCGGCGTTTAAATGCGACAAGCAAGACGACTGCGGCGATTATTCCGACGAATTGGACTGCCCGGCTAACTGCCACTATTATATGGCAAGCAGCGGTGACGTCGTGGAAAGTCCAAATTACCCGCATAAATATGCACCCCTCAGCAATTGTAAGTGGACGCTGGAGGGCCCTCAAGGACATAATATTCTCTTGCAGGTGAATTATTTACTCGATAAGTATCCCTCGTTCAATAAGTTAATGACACTTAATGCTACATATATAGTTGTGAAAATCACAAGTCAATGCTTAAAATGTGAAGTTACAAAACGAGTCACGATTCGTATTCCAGTTTCAAGAATTCGAGACCGAAAAGAGCTTCGATATAGTGCAGATCCTCGTAGGCGGTAGAACCGAGGAGAAGTCTGTAAATCTCGCGACTCTTTCCGGCAAGCAGGACTTCAGCAACAAGCTCTTCGTCTCAGCTTCGAACTTCATGATTATAAAATTCAGCTCCGATGCCTCGGTAGAAAGAAAGGGCTTCCGTGCCTCGTGGAAGACCGAACCACAGGCCTGCGGCGGGATTCTCAGAGCAACGCCGCAAGGACAAGTGCTTATGTCCCCGGCATATCCCCAAAATTATCCCGGAGGATTGGAGTGTCTGTATATCTTGCAGGCACAGCCAGGACGCATAATGTCTCTGGAAGTACGTTGAATTCTTACCATTTATCCAACTTACTTTAATACTTATTTAACATTTTATCATATAACAATCAAATCATTCGGCTATCTTACTATCATCTATGTATGAACATTTTGCATTGATTCTATATACGGTATATTGTGAATTTTGAAGAACTCTTCTATATGTATTTGAGATATCACGTTTGCCGAACATTTTTATTAGAAGATATATTTTAATGGAAAATGCATTTTAATATAAAAAATTAACTTACTTTATATAAAAAATAATAGTATAGCGCTAGCAATCGATTACAAAAGTTCGCGCGGTAGTCAAAGTATTAATACAGCGTTACGATTCTTCTAAACAAAAATTTAAATGCCTGTGAAATCTAATTAGGTAACTCTCTCGTTTCTAGATCGAGGACTTGGATCTTGAAACAAATCGGGATTATATTCTTGTGAGGGACGGAGATTCGCCTATGAGCAAACCGATTGCACGTCTCACTGGAAAATCGGAAGACAATCCAACAGTAATCATGTCTACAGGAAACAACTTGTATTTGTACTTTAAAACGAGCCTCGGTGATTCCAGGCGTGGCTTCAGCATTCGCTTCACGCAGGGCTGCAAAGCTACAATCATTGCAAGAAACGGAACGGTTCAGTCGCCATCTTACGGTCTCAATTATTATCCTAATAATCAGGAATGTTTGTACAAAATCAAAAATCCAGACAGAGGCCCACTGTCACTGAAATTCACTAACTTCACCGTTCACAAGACCGATTACGTACAAGTAAGTTTGATTACATTATATACACAACGAAGTTTCGTTACATCTTCACGCATGTTCGGTTTATTAATTTTTGCTCTTTCACGGGAAATCGATAGATATACGATGGCTCCAATACGAACGGTCTACGCTTGCATTCCGGAAGCGGTTTCACCTCTAACACTCGACCTAAGATCACGCTCACCGCGGAAAGCGGAGAAATGCTCGTTAGGTTCGTCTCTGACGCTTTGCACAGCAACATCGGCTGGCAGGCTAAGTTTTCTGCTGGTAAGTCATTATTTTCATATCCAGTATTATGTAAAGAAAGTAACATGTGATTACATAATATTACTAAGATGTGTTTTGAAATAAGAGAGCAATCTCTATGTACATATACATATATCAGTTGTATATTATAATGGTTTTATATTTCTATCGCATTTAATAGGATTTTATCTATGTGTAAAGATAGTCATACTAATATTAAAAAGAAAATATTAATTTTAGATTGTCCCCCGTTGCAACCTGGCGAGGGAGCTTTAGCGTCCAGTCGGGACACAGCATTTGGTACAGTAGTTACGTTCTCCTGTCCATTGGGACAAGAGTTTGCCACAGGCAAATCGAAAATTTCCACGGTATGTCTCCCCGGAGGAAATTGGTCAGTTATGTATATTCCTAAATGCCAAGAGGTTTACTGTGGTCCAGTACCTCAAATCGATAACGGATTCTCAATTGGTTCTTCGAATGTTACTTACCGTGGACTGGCAACCTATCAGTGTTACGCAGGATTCGCGTTTCTTTCCGGAAGACCGACGGAAAAGATTTCTTGTTTGGCTGACGGAAGATGGGAAAAAAAGCCATCTTGCTTAGGTTCGTTAAAAATTTCACAATATATATATCGATACGACTATACATATAGATGCGATATTAAACGAATAGAATTGTAGAGTATTGAAAAAATATGCATATGATTGTTTTTAGCATCTCAATGCGCTCAGTTACCAGATGCACCTCATGCTAACATGACTGTCTTGAATGGCAGCGGTCGAAGTTACGGCACGATTGTTAGATTCGAATGCGAGTCCGGCTACGTTCGAAGCGGGCATCCCGTCATTCTTTGTATGAGCAACGGTACCTGGTCCGACAGAGTACCAACATGTTCGCGTAAGTTCAGTAAATGGCTTATTCAGCAATTCTCCTTTACTGATTAATTTAACATTGATATAAAATTAATATGTAACAATATATATAACAACGTATCTTTTTCTTATTATAGGTGCTAAATGTCCGTTACTACCTACGATTAAAAATGGATTTATTATTGATATCGGCAAAGATTATTTCTTTGGCGATGACGTTAGAGTACAGTGCAATAAAGGATACAAGCTAATGGGATCAAATATCATACAATGTGGTCCTTATCAACGGTTCGATAACGTGCCAACTTGCGAAGGTAGATTTTATAACATAAATCATGAAAATGAGTTATAATGGGAAATGAGTTATGTTATGTCGCAATTTTTCATTCGTCTCTGTAGATATAAACGAATGCACATCGAGCCAATGCGATCTGGCGTCCACGGAGTGCATAAACAATCCTGGTGCGTTTACTTGTAAGTGTAAGTCGGGCTTTGCATCGACAATGGAGTGCCGGCCTATCGGTGATCTTGGTCTTATCAACGGCGGCATTCCTGACGAATCGATCACTGTTTCAAGCTCGGAAAATGGATATACAAAAACTGTAGGATATATTGACATTTTCTATTCTTCATAATGTTTCAGAGTATCCTTCCTTTTTATAATATTAAATACTCATGTTCTTTCAAAGGGTATTCGTTTGAATAACGGTGACGGATGGTGCGGCAACAACATCGAGCGGGGTGCAAACTGGGTGACAATTGACATGAAGGCACCGACGATTATTCGCGGTTTCCGCACGCAGGTTGTAGCCAGAATCGACGGAAATATCGGGCACGCAACAGCCGTGCGGATGCAATACACGAACGACTTGACGGACGTCTTCATAGATTATGAAAATAATTACGAAAATCCGGACGGTACGCCGGTGGAGTTCAGAATACCGGACCCGAAGCTTTCCATCCTGAATCTACCAGTGCCGATCGAAGCTCGCTACATAAGATTCAGGATACAGGATTACAAAGGTGCACCATGTATGAAGCTAGAGATGGTTGGTTGCACCAGATTGGAATGCGCGGATATTAACGAGTGTGCCATCAGAAACGGTGGCTGCCATCAAAAGTGCATCAACAGTCCCGGCAGTTACTCCTGCATGTGCAACACGGGTTTTGAATTGTACAAAGGCAATGGTACGGCCGGATTTAATCTGGCGAAGGGAGAAACTGGCGAAAGGGATGGCGATTTATATCAGAGAAATAAAACGTGTGTGCCAGTGATGTGTCCGTCATTGACGGCACCGGAGAATGGAAAATTATTATCAACAAAGGTAAAATAAAAAAATCAAATAATACGATTCTTTTATCGTCCGAGTAAACATTGATTGTAATTATTATTATGAATGAAAAAAATTTTTTTTTTTAATGTATGAATTTATTTACTAGGAGCAGCATCACTTTGGCGATCTCGTTAGATTTCAGTGTAATTTTGGTTACGTTTTATCTGGATCTTCGGCTGTAATTTGTACCTCTTCCGGGATTTGGAACGGAACTATTCCCGAATGTCAATGTAAGTGCAGAACGTTTCAAAATTATCACATAAATTTCTGCCGCATTGTCGCATATAACATATCGAAAAAAAGATATAATCTTTCTGCAAGAAATGCACTATTATTCATAAGTTCAACATTTGCGATTTTCTTGCATCTCATAAAAGTTATGATAAAAACCAATTTCTTTTTCATTTTAAAGATGTATAACATTAAAAACAAATCTGAAAAACATTATAACAAAAATTTCTTCTTTGTCTTCTCTTTTTTTCTACAAATTCTTTAATTTCAATGTTAAAAAATATTTTGTAAGTTTTTACACTAAAAAATGTTGTTGCAAAAAATACACCAACTGTTTTTTTAATTTATTTCAAAGCTTAAAAAGCCTATTTTAAAATACTTTTTTTTATTAGTTTTTGTTTCATGTTATTTCATCAAACTACAGCGCTTTAAAATAAAATAAAAATGAAAAGGTATTATAATGTTTAAATCGAGATTACACACAGTTTAGTTTCGGAATAATTTCCTTGACTCAAATATAAAACCGACCAATCCGCACTACTTATAGGAAAAAATAATGTAACGTCTCTTACATTAACCCTTATTCCAAAACCTTAAATTTGCAGCACACATCTATGTGTGTTTACCTGTGAGGCAAGTAGACGCGTATCTAATCTACACATACATTCTTTTATACTTCCTTTTTCTCTTTCTTTATTCAAATAACTTCAATAAAACCTAAATCGAAGTTTAGAAGTAATAATTCAGCAAAAATTCCTAATTTATTTTAAAATATTTCAAATGTATTCTTTAACTATTTATAGATGCGAAATGTGTATCGCTACCAGACGGTAAAAGCGATGGTCTTACCGTGATTCGAAACGACAACACCAGCGTGCTGGTACCCTTCAAGCAGAATGTCACTCTGAAGTGCGGTACCAACGGCCGCTACTTGCGCAATACCGCGACATCCAATTTCCGACAATGCGTATACGATCCTAAACCCGGTTTGCCCGATTATTGGCTGTCTGGTCTGCAGCCAGCTTGTCCTCGCGTGAACTGCGGCAAGCCACTTCCTACGCCCGGCGCCGAGTACGGCCAGTATGAAGACACCAATCATCAGTCTTCCTTCTTTTTTGGCTGTCAAGATACCTTTAAATTGGCCGGTCAGACGAACCACAATGACAACGTTGTGCGTTGTCAGGCGAACGGCGTTTGGGACTTTGGCAACCTACGATGCGAAGGTCCGGTCTGCGAGGATCCTGGCAGACCGAGTGACGGCTATCAAGTGGCGCGTAGCTACGAACAGGGCTCGGAGGTACAATTCAGCTGCAACAGACCCGGCTACATTCTCATTAGCCCGCGACCTATCGTCTGCATTCGCGAACCTGAGTGCAAAGTCATCAGACCCCTCGGTCTGGCCTCCGGACGCATTCCAGATTCGGCGATAAATGCCACCTCCGAGAGACCGAATTACGAAGCTAGGAACGTCCGATTGAACTCGGTAACCGGCTGGTGCGGCAAGCAAGAGGCTTTCACTTACGTTAGTGTCGATCTCGGTCGTATCTATCGAGTGAAGGCAATCCTCGTGAAGGGCGTGATCACCAATGACATAGTCGGTAGACCCACGGAGATTCGTTTCTTCTACAAGAAAGGGGAGACCGAGAATTACGTCGTCTATTTCCCGAATTTCAATCTGACTATGCGTGATCCCGGAAATTATGGTGAATTGGCAATGATCACCCTGCCCAAGTATGTGGAGGCCCGTTTTGTGATTCTCGGTATCGTTAGCTACATGGACAATGCCTGTTTGAAGTTCGAGCTTATGGGATGCGAGGAACCAAAGATCGAACCATTATTGGGTTACGATTACGGATACTCCCCCTGTGTAGATAACGAAGCACCGGTCTTTCAAAATTGCCCGCAACAACCGATAGTTGTGCAAAAGGGAGCCAACGGAGAATTACTGCCAGTGAATTTCACAGTGCCAACCGCCGTCGACAACAGTGGCAGTATCGCTCGAGTGGAAGTAAAGCCTCCAAGTTTCAAAACCCCCATTAGAATCTTTGAAGACACGTTCGTGAAATATATAGCTTTCGATTACGATGGCAATGTAGCTATTTGCGAGATCAACATCACTGTTCCGGGTTAGTAACAATTTTCAATTTATCTAATATTTTACCTAATATATAAACTTATTTCGCATTATTAAATAAATTAGTAAGAAGATAATGAAAATGATAAAGAATCAAATCATTCATTAATATAAAAGATATAATTATTGAAAATATTAAAGAATTTCAGAATTCTATCTTTTATATGAAAATATATTATTATGAAAAATATATTATTATTCCAATATAAACAATTACATTAACGATCGTTTGGTAGGGTAAATTTTATTTAATCTTAATTAAATTATTAATTAATGTTTATTAATATTAGATAATTTAACTAATATTTAATTAATTAATATTCTCAGATATAACTCCACCGAAACTGAGCTGTCCCCAGAGTTACGTTATCGAACTGATCGATCGACAAGAGAGTTACTCCATCAATTTCAATGAGACGCGAAAACGCATCAATGCCACGGACTCTTCCGGTCCTGTAACGATCACTTTTGTACCAGAACGCGCAGTGATCCGAATTGGCGATTTTGAAAACGTCACGGTATATGCAACGGACATCAGTGGAAATAGGGCAGTTTGCCACTTCCAAGTTTCGGTCCAGGCAACGCCCTGCGTCGATTGGGAACTAAAACCGCCAGCTAATGGTAATCTAAAATGCATTCCTGGAGACCAGGGAATGCAATGCAGAGCGACCTGCAAGGCTGGATATAGATTCACCGACGGATCACCCATAAAAACATTCGGGTGTGATGTTAGCAAACGATGGACACCTTCGTCAGTGGTACCTGACTGCGTTTCCGAAAGTAAGTTTCTTATTTTTTAATTAATTTTATCTTATTTAGTATTATTACTATATAATGTGTGTGTATGTGTTCCAGTCAGAAATAGTTCCTCGAAAAAACGTCATTTCGACGTCGTTAAAATAAAAAAATTGTCGACTCGAAATTTGTGTCGAAATTTTAACATTTTTGAATAATAAAAAATTGCGTAGTTAGAGAATGCAATGAGAGTTTTGATACATTTTTTTAATACTTTTGGTGTAAATATTCTCATATTGGTGTAAATATATTTGTTTGCAGCGTCCCGTTTTGGTGTAAATATATGTTCAAGCACGTCCTTCTTTTATATAATGTGTTACAATTTTATATGTATAATATATATTTAATATATTATGTACTATATATAAATAATAAAATATTGATATTTGTAGATACGCAACAGGCCGATTATCATGTAACCGCCACTGTAACTTATCGGGCGAATGGCGTCGTTTCTCGATCCTGCTTGCCGATGTATCAAGATCTCATGGCTCAACATTACACGAGTCTTAATAGTATTTTGACTCAACGTTGCTCCTCTATCAACGTGAACATGAACGTGTCTTTTGTCAAAGCGATGCCTTACCTGATTGAAGAAAATGTTCTTAAGGTATATATTATATATATATACGTCAAGATCTTAATTGTATAAGACTAATAATACAATGTAATTAAATCAGAATTATTATTGGTAAGGAATAAGATTAACACAAATTTTCTACAAATTTTCCAGATGGATTTTATTTTGGTAGTCGTTCCGGCACAACGTCAAACGCAATTGTACGAATTTTGTGGCTCCACGTTGAGTCTGATCTTCGATCTAAAAGTTCCTCATGCGAGCGCAGTTATCGAGCCTCTATTAAACGTTTCTGCGATTGGCAATCAATGCCCGCCTCTCCGTGCTCTCAAATCATCCATTAACAGGGGCTTCACGTGCAGCATTGGCGAAGTATTGAACATGGATACCAACGATGTTCCCCGTTGTTGTAAGACACATTTCATACTTTTATAGAATAGTCATCTAAGATTTTTATACCTCGATACTCCTTCCTAATACTCCGTGTTCAGCAGTAATATTTTCTTTTTTTTAATCTTTTTTAAAACTATTCTTTGCAAACTTTTTATATATGTACTTCCATTTTATGATAATAATTTATTATTAATGACATAATATAAAAGCATCTCAAGTGATCCTTTGCGTAAAAAAAGATTAAGAAATTACTTCCAACTTAAATTAATTTATATTATTTTCTTCATGAATTTTTAATAAATTGCCTCAATAAAACATTCTTATGCATTTTTAGTGCATTGTCCTGCTGGAACCTTCGCCGGAGAGAAACAAAAGCAATGCACAGCTTGTCCAAAAGGCTTCTATCAGAACAGCGATCGACAAGGTTCCTGCTTGCACTGTCCTTTCGGCACGTATACAAAGGAGGACGGTTCCAAGAGCATAGACGACTGCATACCAGTCTGTGGTTACGGCACGTACTCACCTACCGGTCTTGTACCTTGCCTCGAGTGTCCCAGAAACAGCTACACCGGTGAGCCGCCTGTTGGAGGCTACAAGGACTGCCAGACCTGTCCGGCTGGAACCTTTACCTATCAACCAGCTGCGCCCGGTCGCGATCGTTGCCGCGCCAAATGCTCGCCAGGCATGTATTCGGATACGGGACTCGCTCCTTGCGCTCAGTGTCCCAAGAACTTCTTCCAGTCTCAGCACGGAGCGACCACATGCGTCGAGTGTCCCACAAACATGTATACGGACGGACCTGGTTCAGTCGGCCGCGAAGAGTGCAAGCCTGTCCAGTGCACCGACAGCGTATGTCAGCACGGCGGTCTCTGCGTGCCAATGGGACATGGTATACACTGCTATTGTCCAGCTGGCTTCTCTGGAAGACACTGCGAGATCGATATCGATGAGTGTGCGTCTCGACCGTGCTATAACGGTGCCACTTGTATAGATATGCCGCAAGGCTACAGGTGTCAATGCGCCTCCAGCTATTCTGGCATTAACTGCCAAGAAGAGAAATCAGATTGTACAAACGACACGTGTCCGGAAAGAGCTATGTGCAAGGATGAGCCTGGAATTAATAATTACACATGTCTCTGCCGATCCGGATATACTGGAGTTGATTGTGACATCACTGTAAGAATGCCCTTCTTTTAAAATGTTCTCTTAGTGAAAAATGTTCTCAAAATATTTCGATAATATTTTTAAAAATTTGTCATTTTTACTTTATAAAGACTTTATATAAACTGTGCTTTTCACGGATTGTCTTCATATCCGAATCCATTCTTAGAATGTCAACGTTTCGTGAACATTACAGTTCACTTCATCAGGGTGACGAACAGCCTGATACTGAACTGTTTCTCTAACTGAATTCCGTTTGTAAATATTACTTTGAAGTTTTTAAAAAATTTTTTTTTGTAAAATGAGAAATTTTAGAATATTTTTCGGAATTCCTATATGTATATAAAAAATCCTTAAAATGATGTAAATTTTCTTAGAATTTCTAAAAAGAAAATTTTGATTCATTAACAAAAATCTATGGAATTTTCTGAAAAGTTACAAAAATCCAAATTATGTAAAATTTCTAAAGAATGCTAAAAAAAATACATAAGAATCCTAAAAAAAAAATCGAATAAAATTTGTTTAAAAATGGTTATATAATATAACTTCCGTCAAACTTGTTTGAAGTCACTCGGGATCTTGACCTTGATAACATATGTCAAGATCAGGGTCATCAGAGCGGGCTCTTCCTATCTGCATATTTTATCTGTAAACCTCAAACACTTTATAAACTACTTATATTTAATTTTCATGTGCAGTGTATCTAATTTTATTTCTTTTCGCATCTTTACACAGATAAATCCTTGTACGGCGAGTGGAAATCCTTGTAATAACGGCGCAACTTGCGTGGCTCTTCAGCAAGGTCGCTACAAATGCGATTGTCTGCCAGGGTGGGAAGGTCAAAGCTGTGAAATCAATACCAACGAATGCGCTGAGCGACCTTGCCTACTTGGCGCCAATTGCACTGATCTAATCGCTGATTTCTCCTGCGACTGCCCACACGGATTTACTGGCAAACGCTGCCATGAGAAGATTGATCTCTGCTTGGGCAATCCTTGTCTAAACGGAATTTGCGTGGACAAACTCTTCAGCCACGAGTGCATTTGCCATCCGGGATGGACCGGTGCAGTCTGCGATACGAATATCAACGAGTGTGCATCTAGACCGTGCCGACACAACGGTCAATGCGTCGATCTTATCGACAATTATGCCTGCACTTGCGAGCCCGGTTACACGGGCAAGCAATGCCAACATACGATCGATAACTGCGCATCGGATCCTTGTCAGAACGGAGCCACGTGCATAGATCAGCTGCAAGGCTTCACCTGCAGGTGCAGACCTGGCTTTGTCGGACTGCAGTGCGAAGCGGAACGCGACGAATGTTCGAGCGATCCTTGTAATCCAGTTGGCACTGACCGCTGCATAGATCTTGATAATACCTTCGTCTGCAGTTGTCGCGAAGGTTACACCGGACCGTCTTGCGAGATCAACATAGACGACTGCGCGTCAGATCCGTGCCTGAACGGCGCAACATGTAGAGATGAAATTGGTGGTTTCAAGTGCATATGTCCGGAGGGATGGAGTGGAGTGTACTGTCAAATGGATGTTGGCATGTGCCAGAACCGACCTTGCCAGAACGATGCCAACTGCGTGGATTTGTTCCTGGATTATTTCTGCGTGTAAATACACATTCTTATACAAAAGAACAGTTTTCTGCATTCAGAAAAAAAAATATAATAACTATAAAGGTGTGATAACTATGCAATTATTTTATATACTAGCACATTACGGTGTGTGTGATGACTACATAGTCTATATCAGTAGTTTATTCAACTATGTATAATTCGACATATAAAACTTGTATAGTTGTTACTTTTATAGTTGCTGACATTATATTTTTCATTGAGTATAAGTGTGAAATATTTAAAAATTTGTCTTCAGACACACAGATCGGAAAATAAATTTGTAGGACCATCAAAATAATTATGTAGAACGCTTAAACGTTGATGACAATACTGCTGCAAAATTATAACATTTCAGCAAATTGGTTCAAGCGTCCTACATATAATTATTTTGGTAGTTTAAATAAAACTATTTTCAGATTTTTATTTAAATTAATTAGATACACTTCAGCAAAACTGTTCTTTCTGAATATGATTCATGTGAATGATAAATTCATCGATTTATACACATTTTCAATTAACAGTTGCCCGTCTGGCACCGACGGCAAGCAGTGCGAAACGGCACCGGAACGCTGCATCGGAAATCCATGCATGCACCACGGCCGCTGTCAAGATTTTGGTTCCGGCTTAAATTGTACTTGCTCTAATGATTACACCGGTATTGGCTGTCAATACGAATACGACGCCTGCCAAGCTGGCGCTTGCAAAAACGGAGCCACTTGCATCGATGAAGGTCCCGGATATACCTGCATATGCCCTCCAGGATATACTGGTATAACTTTAACAATATGTATTCACACTCGCAATCAAAGGAACAGTTATGGTAATGGCTGTAACTATAAATATGACAATTATATAAGTTTTATATCTACAATTAATGTACATAGTTTCAATAACTACAATATAATCAACTTTATTCAACTATATAAATCAATTCTACATAAAACTTCTATAGTTGTCATTATGTTTTCCTTTGAGAGCATATGTCGTTTACGTTCATATCTAATCAAACGTATTTATTATTTCTAAAAAATTAATTCTTCACTTATCTACATTAGGTCAAACTTGCGAAGAAGATATAATTGATTGTAAAGAGAATTCATGTCCACCATCGGCAACTTGTATCGATCTCACAGGCAAATTCTTCTGCCAATGTCCATTCAACTTAACTGGTGACGATTGCAGAAAATGTATGTTTCTTAGATTCTTTTTTACTAAAATATTATATCGGAGAAAAAAAATTCGCCTATAATTTTTACTTTAAATTTTTACAGCTATCCAAGTGGATTACGACTTGTACTTCAGCGATCAAGGACGCAGCAGCGCTTCGCAAGTCATTCCATTCTTCACTAACTCCGCAAAAAGCCTGACTATTGCTATGTGGGTGCAGTTTACGCAAAGAGACGAAGGTGGAAATTTCTTCACTCTTTATAGCGTTAGGTATATGTTTATTTGCACTTTTATTTCGTTTGATATCTATTATACTTATTGTAAAGCTTAATAATTCACATTCGGATTCACATACATCTTTTCTTCAGCTCCCCACACGTTCCAACGAACCGAAGACTTATGATCCAAGCACAAAGTAATGGTGTTCATGTATCTCTCTTCCACGACTTACAAGACGTCTACCTACCATTCGGAGAATACGCGACCATAAACGACGGACAATGGCATCACATTGCTTTTGTATGGAACGGTGAAAATGGCGGAGAACTCATTTTAATCACAGAAGGTCTCATTGCAAGCAAGACCGAGGGTTATGGCAGCGGCAGATCACTCCCAGCATAGTAAGTGCCCCTTCAAAAGGAACATAGAAAATTATGAGGCATTTTTTCAATGCTCCTCCAATGATTTATTTTCATTATATTAAAAGATAAATATGTTTATTGAACATTAAAATGTTCTACAGCGCATGGACAGTATTAGGAAAACCACAGAGCGAGAATACAAAGAGTTACACAGATTTAGGCTTTCAAGGTCATCTGACCAAGGTGCAAGTCTGGGGTCGTGCGTTGCATGTGACAAATGAGGTTCAAAAGCAAGTTCGCGACTGTCGTACAGAACCAGTTCTCTATCAAGGACTAGTGTTGACATGGGCGGGATACGACGAAACCGTGGGTGGTGTCGAAAGAGTCGTGCCATCGCATTGTGGACAGCGTGTGTGCTCGCTCGGTTACGGTGGCAGTAGATGTCAACAACTCGAGGTAGATAAGATCTCGCCCGAAGTAAGGGGTTGTCCAGGCGATCTTTGGGTAATCGCTCAGAACGGATCATCGATCGTTACTTGGGACGAGCCACATTTCAGCGACAACGTTGGCATCGTAAGAGTTCAGGAGAAAAACGGACACCGATCCGGGCAGACTCTAATGTGGGGTACTTATGACATCAGTTACGTGGCTTATGATCAGGCTGGAAACTCGGCTACTTGCAACTTTAAAGTTTACGTGTTGTGTAAGTAAAGTCTTGACACTGAAAAAAAAATTTTCAGTTAATACCAACTAAAAGTAACATAACTGCATCAATGTTATAATTTCGTACTCGACAGAAATCTAGCATAACAGGTGGTATTATATAACAATTACTTAATTGTTGAGTAAAAAATTATAACATTAATATTATGTTACTTTTAATTTGTTTCGACCGGAGAATTTGGTACTTGTGTGACTGTATAGTAAAATAATTATGATTATAAATTTTATTTTTATAATTATTACCGTTGAAATGTTAGTGAGACAATAATATATTTATAGTTCTATCAAACAAATATTAACTAATATTTGTCCAATAAACACTAAAATATCTCTCCAGAAAATGATATTTTTTTTAGGAAGAGTTGTTGCGTACGCGCATAAATTTGCCAAATTTATACAAACCCTTTCCATTACAGCCGATTTTTGCCCGACACTGAAAGATCCTGTCGGTGGTACGCAACAATGCAAAGACTGGGGTTCGGGAGGTCAATTCAAGGTCTGCGAGATTTCCTGTAACGCCGGACTTCGGTTCTCACAAGAGGTCCCCAAATTCTACACGTGCGGTGCAGAAGGCTTCTGGAGACCTACCAGTGATCCCAGTCTACCTTTGATATATCCAGCTTGTACGAGTAAGCATCTCACATTTTAGTTTTCTCTTATAACACAATCTTATTCCTTATATCATATGATTGCGTCATTCAATCCTGCGCGTTTCTCTTCTTTGAAATATTAGCGTCTCATTAAATAATGGTTTCTATTTCTTTTTTTAATACAATTTTACGAATACTTCCTAAAAATAAAGTATTTTGTAAAAATTTCTTAATAATTTTTGTATGTTTGTAAAAGTGATGAAAATTTACCTGGGATATACGAACCTATCGAATGGAGTGAAGGACGGGAAAATTGTTTTGTGCGTACTAAGAATTTATACTTCCTAAATAGTGTATATTTTTTGTTTCAGGTGCTACGTCAGCCCAAAGAGTTTTCAAGATTAGGATGAATTTCCCTACATCGGTGCTCTGCAACGAAGCCGGTCAAGGTGTACTCAAACAGAAGGTTCGAAATGCCGTAAACTCCTTAAACAGAGACTGGAACTTCTGTTCGTATTCTTACGAAGGTAATACGCAATTTTACAAACAGATTGTCTTTTATAATTGCACATTTCTTGCATCAGTCTAATTTTTTATACTTTTATTTATTTATTTTTTTTTTTTTTTTCAGGAACTCGCGAATGCAAGGATCTTCATATTGACGTACAATGCGATCATCGCACTCGTACAACGAGAGAAACGAGCGAAGAAGATGGTGGAACGTACGTCATTTCCGCTGTTGTACCTGCAGAACCGTAAGTGCAAATTGTAATCTTATAATTAATTACCAAGACGACGTCTTGGAAAATGTTGCCATTCAAACATTTGCAGGTGCGAGTCGCAATTTTTTAAACACACCAACTCGTCGATCGCTCTAAATACAGCCTCTTGTTTAAATAATATTATCTCTGTAAACCATAGCTTGCTTCTGTATGTCAATGTCGATCGCTTAAATGTTAGATACTACATCAGTATACTTATATTTTATTGATTGCGCCGCGCATTTCACTTACAGTGAATGTTCGTACTGAGTATTTTTGTTACTTGTGTTGCATCATACAGAACGAGAAAGGGTCGCCAAGGCAGTGACACTTACGAAGTGGAGATCTCGTTCCCAGCGATAAAGTAAGGACAGCTCGATTCAAGTCAGCGCGATTCAATTCATTTACATCGGTCTTACCCGCCATCTGACATCATTTCTAATACGCTACCATTCATATCGCGCAGTTTATAATAATTACCCAAGATTTAATCATGTTTCAGCGTTCTCTTGTCCTACAATAATAGTGCATAACTCTCAGATTTATATAATAAGCATTAAAAAGTCATCGGTCAAATCATATAACTAACGACTAATCCTACAGCCAGAAAAGTATCAGATCAAGCCTTATAGAATTGTATGAAAGTAAAAGCTGCACGTCCTTACTAACTGATCATGATTGATCATCGTATCACATATATAGGTGGGACGTCATCGTAGGGAGCTGTAACAGGTGTCCACATACTTTCCGATAGTAATAACAATGTAACAAAACCAAGATCTAACCAAGCTGTGAGATCGCTTAAATATTTTCTTTACTTTGTTAAAAAGAAATCTATTATTCGATACTACCGCGCGCGCGATGCATAGAATCGAAAACTCAAATATATTATATGAAATGGATTTCACAAAAATTAAATGCGATTACCTTAGTGAAAAGTTTCCTTATCACATAATTCATATAATTTTTCACAGTTTTTATGCAAATGCTGAATTTTTTCGGAACTTGTATATAGTTTTAAAACTTTTTAGAAGATTTTTCTCTCAGATTTTTATATGAATTAGGACACTTCAGAAATGCTTAAAGTCTTCAGAGATTTTCTAAAATTCTTTATATAAATTTCGAAGTATTCTAAATCTTCCCAAATTTGTCGTTCTTTAATTTTTGAAAACTTGTACGATAAAATCTGAAAAAGTTTGAGATATTTTTTTAGAAATCTTTATAAATATTTAGAATATGACAAGTTCTTAAAAATGTTACAAGACATTATGATGGTTTTCACTAAGGTAGAATTTAAAAAGTGATACATTTGATTGATTAATTCATGCCATTTTGTTAAGTTCGGTAACATGCGCTTGCTTAACAGTGATCCAACAGCTTCAGTTAAAAAATATGTAACAATTTCAATATACACTTGACAACATATACGTGATCAATGTGATAGTAAATAAATGCAGAAATTTACGTGTATTAATAAAAATGCTAAGGGTATGAGTGCGGTTTAACCTGCGACACACAAGTCTACAGACGAGAGAATCCTATAGTCCAAAGATAAGACTACCCTAATTACACTCACTTCAAGATAACGGCTGTACATACTTGCGCAAACCCTTTCATGCCTGTTGCTACCGCAAGTTCCATCAATTTTTGCAAAACAATAACTCTTATTTATGTTTCACAGCGATCCAATCCTGAACGCCAATTCAAACGAACGCTCTACTGTGCAAATGTTGCTCGAAAGATTGATCCTCGAAGAAGACCAATTCGATGTTCATGATATTCTACCTAATACCGTGCCGGATCCCGCATCTCTCATTCTGGAATCCGATTACGCCTGTCCCATTGGTCAAGTTGTTATGGCACCGGATTGTGGTAAGATATTATATACTATGTTTCATCAAAATTATTATTAAAAATAATTTCTTTGACATAATTAAACCTATACAGTCTCGATCTATATGACTACGAGAGATAAAAGAATGCATTTGAGAGAAGCATTTGAGAGATCATCTCGATCGATTACATTATCAACAATTCTCTTGCAGTACCATGTGCGGTAGGAACATTCTATGATGAAGAAGCGCAACAATGCGTGTCCTGTCCTGTGGGCACTTATCAGAGCGAGTCCGGGCAATTAAAATGCAATTCTTGTCCGATAATCGCTGGTCGTCCCAGTGTGACTGTGGGTCCTGGAGCGCGTAGCGCAGGGGACTGTAAGGAGCGTTGTTCTGCCGGCAAATACTACGACGACCTAGGCGGTCTCTGTCGTAGCTGCGGCCATGGATTCTATCAGCCAAACGAGGGTAGTTTCTCCTGCCAGCTGTGTGGCCTTGGAAAGACCACGAGAACAGCCGAGGCTGTGTCGAAGGAAGAATGCCGAGACGAGTGTGGGTCTGGACAGCAGTTAGCCATCGAAGGAAAATGCGAACCTTGCCCACGCGGCACGTACCGAACTCAAGGAATACAGGCATCCTGCCAAGCGTGTCCGCTCGGTAGAACGACCCCGAATATGGGATCAGCGGCGATCGAGGAATGCTCGCTTCCGGTTTGCGAACCTGGAACTTTCCTCAACGGCACCCTTAACGAATGTGTGGAATGTAAGAAGGGAACTTATCAATCGGAACCACAGCAAACCTTCTGTATTCCGTGCCCACCGAATACTAGCACCAAAGGATCTGCTGCTGTAAGTTTTATTCTAAAATATATATTAATGAATATAATTGTCTATACACAGAAAGTGTACATATAATTATTTTACTAGATGTAATTTTTTTAGTGAATTTTATATTTTGACAAATTTATTCAATACATAATTATTTCTTAATGTATGGAAAAAGATAGTATACTGAAAAACGCTTGTTAACAGACAAACAAAGCCGATTGCACGAATCCTTGCGAAACTAGCGGCGAGGAAATGCACTGCGATGCAAACGCATACTGTCTACTCATACCTGAAACTAGCGATTTCAAATGCGAGTGTAAGCCCGGATACAACGGTACCGGAACTGTTTGTACGGACGTATGTCTGGGCTACTGCGACAATGAGGGCGTCTGCCTGAAGGATTCTCGCGGGCAACCTTCATGCAGATGCAGCGGTAGTTTCACAGGCAAACATTGCATGGAGAAGTCTGAATTCTTCTACATCACCGGTGGCATAGCGGGAGGTGTTATCCTGATCATTCTCGTGGTGCTCCTCGTCTGGATGATATGTGTCAGGTTGGTAAAAAAATTCGATTAATTTATATACGCGATTACGATATCAGAAGCTTCTCTTTCATCCAAGTATTTAAAAAAAATTGTTTAGTAGCTACTTTTACATAGATAATAAATAAGATAAAACGGGACCTACAAAATTTTACAAACTAAAGTACATAAAAGATGTATAGGATGTCGGCACGATACTTTGTGCACACAACGTTATTTAAAAAAAAAAGCATTTCAATCAGTGGCCTTTACTTAAAATTGATCACTACTCAATAAGAGTCAGAATCTACGAATAATATTATTTGAGTAAATCAGAAATTCGTATTTTATCGATAACAAAATATATCTTTTCTTTCCTATAGAGCGTCGAAAAAGAAAGAGCCTAAAAAGATGCTGACTCCGGCAACCGATCAGAATGGCTCTCAAGTAAATTTCTATTATGGTGCGCCAACACCATACGCCGAGTCGATAGCGCCGTCACATCATAGCACGTATGCACATTATTACGATGACGAGGAAGACGGCTGGGAAATGCCTAACTTCTATAACGAAACTTACATGAAAGGTAAGCAAATAACTTAATTCTATATAACAAAAATTATTAAAGGTAAACACTCTGAGAAAAATGTAGTAGTGGTAACTATATAAAATGGCAACATCTACACGTTTTATAGAATTAGTACTAATACTGTGATGAAAATTTTTCTTAAAATCTTTCACATCATTTTTCAAAATTTTTTCGACTTTTTGTCTGATTTTTTATACAACTTAAAATTATAAATACACATTTTATATAATTTCAATAAACCATAGAACAGTTTAATAAACTGTGTACATTAATTCTATATGTAAAACTTGTATAATTTTTATTTTGATGAGTACTACATCTTTTTTTCTGAATAAAGTAAAATATTTCAATCACGTATGAAGATTAAAATTTTAATTTTAATGACGTCGGTGCGGATTATTTATTCCCACATTAAATACGAGATGAATACATAAATAAATAATTTACAGCATTGAACCTTTACATATAACTCGTATTGCAATATCGAGAATGCTCATTAATTCTTTTTTCCTTTTTTTACGCAGAGAGCTTGCACAACGGAGGCAAGATGAACAGTCTTGCCCGATCAAATGCCAGTATTTACGGCACGAAAGACGATCTTTACGACAGACTGAAGCGCCACGCGTATACTGGTAAAAAAGGTACAATCCCGCAACTACCCTCGTAATCATATTAATCAACGTCGGCTCATCATACGTGCAGCCGTCCGAAAATTACTGCCAACAGGATCGGATGCAACAAAGTCACGCGCACGACCGGCTACTTATTTATTAATTAATTTAAGCCTACGTATTACTCTCTTCGTCTATTTACTATCATTAGAACACGTAACAAATTTCCGCTCCACTTGATTTAACAGCAGATTGGAAAACGTCAGCGCGCTATCTCAGAAACGTCTCCGAGCGTGCGGCGCAGCAAATAACATTACGAAATATCCATTTTGCAGATAAGAGCGACAGCGACAGCGAAGGCCAGTGACCGGGTAGAACAATGACTTACACGCCAACATAGAATACGAAAAAGCGGGAGATATCAGTGTAATCAGACGGAGTGACGACAATATCTCATCCTTCGAGCGACGTCGTCGTCGTTGCGCCTTGACCGATCGACGGATCTTATTATTTATTACATTACCATTCTGTATGACGTCGCGCGAAATCTGCGATCTGATCACGCGACCGGATATGAAGAAAGAGAGAGAAAGAAAGAGCGAAAGAGGCCCGATCGAAATCGCGAGATCTCGCGTCGACGCAAAAGATGCGCTTCGATCGACAACTGCGGCGAGTGACGCAAACGCAAGAGTCCTGGAACGACGATCGGCAAACCGTGCACCGATTGTCGCTTCGGCACGCTCGAAAAAAACGGCAAATTCGAGGTATACCGGAGAACCGCAAAAGAGAGAGAGAAAAAAAAAACACAGAAAATGGAATCCGTCTTTCGAAGTGAAATTCGATGCGTGTTCAATGATTAAGGAGACGCGCGAGGTTGTATTTTTTTTGTAATTTAATAGAATGTTAAGGACCCCCCAGTCACACATCACCCATTTCTACTCCCCATTCTCTCTTTTTATTAACTCATACCAATCGACGGTGCGTACGTGAGAGAAACTGTGTGCTTGTATGTTAATATAACTATATACGTACGTGGATTTATATTTTGTTACTCTGAAGGTATACGCATCACGTTGTAATATAATAGTGTGCGACAAGCGCAATAAATGGAGAAGTTTAACGAGATTTCAAGTTTGATTTCGGCAACTGGAAGACAGAAAGGAGCGAGGAAAAGAGTCTCATCGTGGGGAAACCTCGCAACGCAACGCCGAGAGAACCACGTTCATTCACGATGACCAAAAGACATTGAACATTTACATTCAGTGTATTTTTTCACGTGACGATATCTCTGTAAAAAAAAAAAAAAAACAAAGGTAAAGAAATATGTAGAGTCGCCCAGTGTGACAAACGATACTCTGTGCCTGCGCGGCGAGCGTGCACAAACGATGCCTACCACGCTGTTTTCCATTTATGTTGTAAAAACTTTAACAAATAGTTGTTTTTTTATTAATAAAAATGTATTTCAATAAAATGTCCTGCAGTATTTTCATTGCACTCGTAATAATATTCTTATAATTTGTAGGAAGCATTGCAGAGCAAGTTGGAATTTATTATTATTCAAAGCGTACATAGATCTATATAATTCTTAGTGGACTACTTAGTGATTTTCAATGTCTCGTCGAACCCTCTTTATATTTCCGTAACTTCTTCATTCGCTTTTATTAATATTACTTTGTACATTTTCTGACCCAGACTGATCCTGGCTTTGTTATTCAATAGAGACATATCATGTGACATGATTTTACCTGCCATTTCTGGATCAATGTGAACATCCGCATTGTCATCTATAAATTCAGTCGCGTCGCTTCTTTCGCGTTCATTGTCAGATTCAATTAAACTTGACCTTTCGCACTCTTCGTGTTCTGTTAACGCAAAGTAGAATAGTAAAGAATATATTTAAATAAAATAAAATATGAAATGAGATAAGTTCCACACTGACTTTTGTGCTTCAAAATATTAAGACCATAAATAATATCTACATCGTTATAGTTTCGTTTTAATACTGTAAATAATGAAAACTATATTTTAATATTTTGTCTCTTTTCTATAATTAATAGTTTTAATAAATGAAATTGATTGATCCTTACATCGATTTCCAATGTCACGAGCCTTCTCGTAATCTTTCGTCATTAAAGCGATTGTGAACTAAAATTAATTAAAAACGGTACGTCATATATTTGAAACCAGCCCAGTATCTGAGAATGGATTGAAATGGATTAAAATGGATTCAGATTTTCAGAAATACGGATTCATGAATGTTAAAATGAATCCTTTTCAATCCGAATGCGTTTTTATTCATTTATAGAAATTGCATGGAGCATATTTGTATACCTTTCAATCAAAAAATAATATCAGCTTTTTCAGTGCGTTTGTGACCATAGTGAATACTGTACAATTCAAAATTTTGATTAGGAAACGCAGTTTTTCAGTTGCATCCAAAAAAAAGTTTTCGCTGTTTAATAATACGCGAATTCGAATAGGCAAAATGTCCAATCCCATTTTAATCCATTCTCGGATGCTAGGAGTGAATGCGATTTTTATAACTCGCTTTGCAGCACTGGTAGCGCCATCGGTCGGCTACCTGGCGTAACGCCGTAACCGGGTATTAGTCCTGTGGCGGGCGTCTCGGCCGGCTGGACTCGTCGTAACGTAGTAGGACTAGGGACCTGCCTGAGGGCTCAGGTCAGGTTGAGACGCCCGAGGGGGTCTTAGATCGAGGTTCTATATAAACGGATTTCACGTGGCTCGAGTACATGCGAGAATTAGCGCGAGTCTCTTCCTTGGACCTCTGGTGGCGGATTGTTACAATATAATGGGTGCTTTCCAATTGATGACACAAGTATCGTTCTATCTTTCTTGACATTTAAGAGATTGACAAAGATAGAATGACACTTGTGTCGATTTGTATCATCAATTGGAAAGCACCCATTATATTTATAATTATTATGGGTGCTTTATTATATTTATAATAAAGCACCCATAATAATTATGTTGATCGTACACATAAACTCTCTTCAAGCTTTATTCAAGATTACATTCCATTTTTGTTGAAATATAAGCGTGTTACCATATTCAACGTACTTGCGAGTAGACCATTTCGGGCATGCAATTTATGTTAAATTTAACATATTTTCCAACTGTGTTTTTTTCCAAATGTTCGAAAACGTTCCCCGGATGTTCTCGTGGTATCATCTTATCCTTGTTCAACATTGGGTAAACAACAAGGACAAAGCGATACAAACAGGCACTCTCGGGTAACATTTCCGAACGCAGAGCCTTACAATTATAGTGTCTCTCTATGAGTCACTTCATTACGTAGATTTAATAAAAAAAATTAGAATACGTTATAAATAACAATGATGTAATAGAATAAAATCTCTCTAGCAACATTTTCAAGAGATTCAGAAGAGACTGTAGAAGAACAGCCGCAAAGGACACGAAAAATGCTCGTTCCAGTCGGTTGCGGTCTACACGGTAAACGACCGGTGAAGTGCAGCGTCAAGAGGGGAAAAAAAAAAGGCTGCTGCAAAAGAAAATGCTGCGGTCCAGAGACTCCGGAGTTAAAAAGCGAGCGGTCTTTGGCGCGTTGGAACCAGCATATGAGGGAATAATAAATTATCGACTCCCGGCGGAGATTATCGGTCTCTCGAATACCGCACATGACGTGGTGTTCCGGCCGGCTGGCGCGGCGCCGCCGCGGTCCGGCCTCGATTCGCTCCCGGTGAGCTCACTCCGCTTCTCGATTCGCCGCGGATGACGTTATCCGCGACAGTATACGCGAATCGCGCTCCCGGCATTGTCCCGCGTGACGTGTGCTTTAACCCCGACATCACCGCCTCTCCTACCGCATTTCACGGACGACGATCGAGCTAACTACATGACGGAGCGTACGGCGAAGCACATATACCGTCTACCCGATTCTGACACGCCGCGCTAATCGGACGAGTAAAAATAGTTGCACAGTGCGGACTTTCGTTGGCCCTTCTGTCTTTTTTTTCTACCGGCTCGTCTCCAGCCCAAGTGGAAGGTACCCCGATACCGATTGTCTCAGGGAGGGTGAGTATATAAATTCGCGCTACAATCGTTACACGACCTTTCGCCGCGTAAGAGTTTGTGCTTGATTATGTAACGACCTAAAAATCTGTTTTCGTTCAGTTTTATGCTTAACATATGTGTACTTTTTGTATTTAAAATGACATATATATATATAGGGTGTATATTCGCTTTATACTTGAAAAGCGATAAGGAAAGTTCCGAAGCGCAGCTTCCACAATGCTGGAAAAAAAAAAAACAAGCGTAGATGCATATAATATGTCATCGTGAATGAATCGACATCGACAGAATCAACCGTCTGGCCCCGGCTAGCGATTGAAAGATGCTGCGTAGTCGCGAGGGATCGATTGGAGCGCGCGATGCGTGTTGACGTCGTCGTCGTCGTCGGCGGCGGCGGCGGCGGCGGCGGCAGCAGCAGCAACTATATATTTTCAGGTCGCACAGATATAGTTTCCTCGAAGGGTATTCCCGGCCTGACGATTTTGCGTTGCACCGATGCGCGCGAGTGCGATCAGGTGCGCCGCGCCGTCGTGACCGACGTCCGCATGATGCAATGCAACTCGCGCCGAGACTCGGCGAAACAGTCACATGCGCCGGAACGCTAAACAGCGAACGTTACGTAACCAATCAGCCTAGTCAGTAGTCTAGTCAGACAGCAGCTTTTCCTTATTACAGTACGCCTTATCCGCCCACCGAAAAGCTTCGGAAGAAAATAACACGTCTAAGTCAATTGGGAAAGAACGGTGTATCATGAAAGGGGAAAACGAGATAAAGGCTATAATAAGTCTTATTAGTATCTACAAAAGTGGATAAACTGAAAAGAATTTTCGAGGTCTTTTGTAACGAATATAACACATCGCAGACAACAAGCTGTTTGCCTTTCTTAATACGGTCGAGCTAATTGCCAAAGAAAGCACGGAGATAAGATAAGTTGCATATAGGAAGTTGCATGACGTAATATTTTGGAGCAGAGATGACTAAGCTTAATCGCGCTCGAAATATATCGTAAATCAAGAGACATATATCGTACAATATTTTACTGAAAGATAACTAGGTTCAAATTCACCAAACGGATAAGGAAAGAATGCAAAATTTATCGAACTTATTACATGTGCCACAAATGTAATCATTATGATCCATAAGATAGAATCAGTCCCTTGATTTATAACATCGATGTTATCACGATGAATTACTATTATATCGCTTATATTGCCTAGCAATGTGAAGATTGGATACCATTTATCAAATTATGTGTACACAAATATAATAATTTTCTCGGAATTACGTATCAAATACAGTGTCTAGAAAGCAACCATTTACTAAATCGATTACTAATTTAGTTGTCTGTACTCAAGAATTTTATTGATTTAGTAAAAGGCTAGTAAATAACTACAATTTAATAAACTTTAAATGCAATATCGAAACTTAATGTTCGATTGTTATTTGTTACCTTATTATTAATATTAATCCAATAATTATTTAATATTAATATTAAATTAATGTATTTATATTTATATTGATATTATATACTTATTATTATTATTTGATGTATCAAATTGTGTTTATTAATCAATGCTATTACTTCTTTTAGGTTTCCAAAATCCCTCCCATCTACAAACGTCCGACAACCAGCAACATTTCAGTTGAGGAAGGAGGTGTTCTTAACGTGAGTACTGTTCCGATCCCGAGAAAGGATCCGGAACAGTGAAACATCGCGTTTTAAATCTGAACCCGGACAATCGGATATTGATAGGAAGATGCAAACGTTTCAGGTTTCAAAATCATGCAACCGTCAGCAGCTTCCGTTATCTGTTACTCGTGGCGTGAGATCGCGGTCACTGGAAGATGTCACCTCGATAAAGGTGGAGACAATTCCTCTGCTGAGCCCGACGATGGAGACCGAACTTTTGAAGGAGCCCTGGGTATTCCCGCGCACAAAAGCAAATCTTATGAAAGGAGAGGAACCCGCGACACTTTCCGCCTGGGAAGAGGACTTTCAGGATCTGAGCAGTTGGTGCATGGATACGTTCCAGGGTCAATGCGATTTTCATATAGGTGAATCGACTACATTTAAACTATCAGGTATACCTACATTTCTATACGTAAATAACTTTATCAAGTGTTCCATAGAATTTCATTAATTCGTCGGAAACTATATATGTATAATCGATACAGAACGTTGATATGGACTCGCTTTGTTCCAGATACAAAATACGAGGGTAACAGCGTTTCGATTGTAAAAGAGAAAGAGATGTTAAAGGATGAGAAGTTGGATTTGAAAATGGATACCGTTAAGACGACTAAAGAATCAAATGACAATTGTCATTTGCTTCTATCTCCATCGGAACTCGTTAACGAATACGGATTAAGATATAATAATGAGGAGAACAATGCATCCAGTTCGTTGCTAATACCACCAGAATCTGTGGCTTCTAAGGCCACCTCGCCGAGCAAACAGCATGACGCAGATGTTAGCGCGCCGCTCCAACCCAGGAGTCATGATTTGGATTACGCTTGCTCGTCGACGCTTAACACCGTCGCAAATCAGCGCGAAACATGGGATGAATTACGCACCATCGAGACAACCGGTTCGGATACTTTCGACTTGTTGTCGTACCTTTGGGAGGTACGTTGACACACGGAAAGAACGGTTTTACCGAAAGTATTTCAACATTTGGCTAGATCTGAAAATAATCTGGTTGGAACATCAAAATAATTATGTAAACTTAAACGTTGATGGGACAATGCTACAAAACGTTTTAATATTCCAGTAATCAGTTTAACATTATTATTTCTACATAATTATGTTAAACTGATCCAGCAGAAAAAATTTAGCTAAATACAGATCTGAAAGTAATTTCATTGCGTAGCACGCATTTTAGAGGCGTGGAATCGTCCTAATATAGAAAGATAGTCGAGATGGCGTGAGATGGCAAAGAATCGCGAGTAATGCGTGCGGGAGAGAGTGTGTATCCGAGTGGCCAAAAAAAAAAAAAGACGAGAAAATAAATCGGCTCCTGTCTACAATCCATTCAGCGAGTACGATCATTCGGCATTCCTAGCATAACTCCCTCATCTTTTCCTACAATTGGACCATCAAAATAATTACGTATATCGGACGCCCAAGTAAGAATGTCAAAATTTTTTCACAGCATCGCTCATTATGTTTGAGTTTTATATATAATTATTTTGATGGTCCAAACAAAATTCTTTTAAAATCTGCATCTAGCTAAATTTTTAGATGTTTCGGTGAAACCATTCTTTTTCATGCAGATTTAACGAAAATATTTGATCGCGTAATCGTTAACTGTTCATACGATTTGTTCTAAAATTGATTTTTATTACAGGATGAAATACGTTCAATGGAAAGTAATTTATCTACCGATTCTTCAGCGATGTTAAAAGTCAGACCGCACGCAACAACGTCGTCGTCGTCAGTACGATCACTTACATCAACAAAGGTGAAAACGGAGGAGACCGACGAACCGATGCCACCTTCGCCACGTCGAAGGATGGAGACCCGCGCGACATCCCGGATGATCATGACCTCGTCCACGGCGAAGTCTCCCGTAACGTCATATCGAAGATCGGAGAGAACGAGGGCAGCGACTATTAAAAGTAAAGAGAAGGAGAGTGTTACTGTCACCAGCACAGAGACAAAGAATAACAACGGGAGGAAAAGATATTACGAGGAAAGCGACGACTCCGAGGAGGATGTCATTCTCACCCAATACAAGGAGTGCCGTGTGAAAAATAATGAGGCCTCGCGGAGATCACGAATGAACAAGAAAGCTAAAGAATCGGAAATGGCCAAGAGAGCGACCGAACTGGAAAAGGATAACAGGATACTGAAGATGAAGGTTGAGGAGCTGGAGAAGCTGGTGACGTCGATGCGTAACGCGTTATTACAATCTGCTTTAAAGAAAGAATTTTAAGTACGCGTTATTGAATATTTAGACGTTCTCGCGACCTGTCGCGTATAATCTAATTAACCACATTTGTTACGTTTTTCCGTTATGTCATGCATGCACTATTATTATATGATGTCTTTTGACCACGAAAGAGCTATATGAACTTTAACATTGAATTTATTTACATTAATTGTCTTAATGTGGGATTAAAAGCGTTCTTAAAAATTTATCGTTATTTTGATGTTATTTTATCGAGAGACGTTTTCTTTTTTATTTACTTCGCTTCAGCATCTCTTGTACATATCGCAATTTAATTGTGTAACGATATGTAGAAGAGATACTGAATGAAACCGAGTAAACTAATCGCGAACTAGCGATAGACTAATTGTACGCTGCTGCAATGCGTTAAAAATGTTTTTACAATGCAACATTTGGCTTGCTGTATGTCCGTACGCTGAGATATATTAAAAATAAATATTTATTTTCTTATGAGAGAAAACGAGAAAGAGAGAGATAGAAACACCGAAATTAGAATATATTTTGCGTAATAAACACACATACATACGTATATATATGTATATGTATGCGTGTGTATATATACATACTTATAAGTTACTTTGTGTATATAAGTACTACATGAGTGAAGATCAGGCATATGATTTTAAGTGATAATATGTATTGTCGTGAAAATTTTAATCCGAACAAAATCACATGATCATATTTTGTTCAGCCTTATATTGTACCTGATAAAGAAGAGAAAAAGGGCATGCATATAGAATCCTATTTCAGAGAGAAACATGTAATTAGTAATACACACAGTTTTCTACTATTTGGTGTGAACTCAACAGTGCTGAGTAAACGACATATTGTAACGAGTAAAAAATCCAATAAAATTCTTTATTTTGAAAAATCAACTCAAGATTCGCTTGTCATTTCGTGCGCGCGCACTGCAAATAGCGACGAAAATAACAATCTCTTATGACTCATGTTTCTTTTTTCCGTTTTCTTTATTTAAGAGCTATACGGCACGCGAGATATTTCCGTAGATCATTCGCATAGAATAATTATTAAAATATGTATAAATGATCGCCAAGATATACGATACGTACTCGTATATGCCGATACGTGTGCAATGAATATATGAAATGCTGCGACGCGACGAGATGTCGCGAGATAATTACAAAATCGATATAGCCATAGCATATACATATAGTATATGTGAAACGGTAGCGAATGAATTGTCGCTCTTATAGAAATTTAATACCGATGGTGATTAATTACTAATTATTTTGAATATTCAAAGCACTGTTATTTACTGGTTTTACACACAAAAATGTATACCATATTGAATATTAATTATTTGTTTCAAGTAGGTATTTCAAAAATTCATATATCCGCAAAAATCTCTATCATAATTGTTCATTAAATTGCATCCAATCTATTCTGAATATATTTTGAATCTTAGTAAGTTTAATATACTTCAATAAAGATTATTGAATTTGTTTTATATTACATAAAGTCGTCTCTTCGGTAAAATTTTGTAATATCCTTCAAAAGGAACTAAATTCTTGTTTTGAGCACGTATTATAATGGTAATGAGTTTTTTCTAAAATTTGTACAACAAATATATTTTAAGACTATTATCAAGAACATATATTTGCTGTAAAATATAACCGTTATTCTAAAGTAAAAAAGGTAAACTAAGTAATCACTTTTCTTAACGGTACAATATTTTTTTGTACGCAAAATACTCCGAATGAGTGATTTTCAGTATTAAATTGAATTTCTATAAGGGCGACTGGATGAAAATCGTATCCTATTGTGCACGCAACAACGTGCGCCGTAACTTTATTCAATTCAACGTCTAAACGAGTCCGGACAATTTCTGCCGTGCCGCGCGCGACTTGCTTTCCCAATGGGGGGGACGATGGCGGGCAAAGGAGGTAAGACCTCTTTTCGCTAATTGAATATCCGGTGTCGCTAGACACGAGACCCGCGTGTCCTCCGCGCAAATTGCGTGTCGCGATACGCGTTGCGAATTGGCATAATTAACGACAGAGGCCGAGAGACACAGAAACCCGGTGACGATTCGCACCTGTGAACCAACTGACTCTTTCGTAGCTCATTCCCATCGTTCACCCATCGCACATTTCCTGCGCTGGAATGGGGACAATGACTGTACGAGTTTCATCTCTTGTTTACAGTAAACAAAAGCTTTTATTATATCAGTACAATAAATAAAATAATGGACTCCTTATAATTCAATAAAAAGGAAAACTTACGTAGGCTAATATGGAGTCAGCGCGATAAAAACAAGAGCGCAAAATTTGTAAATAATCGTTTACTCTAATATATAAATAATATACGTATATAATTACATAGTGTACGTTTCGGCTATTTGTTTTCAGCCATCTTTAGCATTTATTTAATCAGAATTGCAAGGAAGCACAATAATCGGCCAATAAAGTTTCCTTGCTTCGTGGTAACCATATTACATTGTCTACATATTAAAATAAGAATGTTTGAATTTAATTTAATTAAATTAATTGGACTAATTGACCAAAAAATTATACTTTCCATTATTATTATTATCACAAATTTTAAAGGGATTTTTACTTTAAAAAGCCTATTTATAAAGACTATTCAACCTTGAAATTTAATAGAATATGACAGAAATATATAGAAACGTTTCCCAAAGAAAAATTTCATTAACAAAAGAAAATACTGTGATCCTATATACATATCGGAAAATACATTGTATATTCTACATATCAAACACAGGCGAAAAGAAGCGAAAGAAAGTCCAGAAGGAACGGGTCCATTGTAAGAAATATTTAATTTAAGCGTTTTCATCAGAGTCGTTAAATAATTGGCGATTAAATGCCTCGAAATCAAATACATACTCGAGTGCGTTCGATCGCGGGTGCGTGAATCGATAGCCCGCATTGCTTTCCGCACCCGCATACCGTTAAATCCGTCGGGCCCTACTATGCTGTTATTATCCAGAACTGCCATTGCATTCGACTCCAGTCTTTCTGATTTACAAATCGGACCACAAAGCAAATCGTTATTCCTTATAACGAATGCTTTAGAAAAGGAGGAAGCTTTGGGAAGTAAAATAGAACGGATTATAGCGTTGCTTAATTCATTATTTTTAATAACTTAGAATGAGCAACTAAAATCGGATATGCACATATTCTGAATACTACAGATGTCTAAGGATTAATTTGGGACCAATAACTTGCGAGCATCAAATTTTTTCAATTTTGCAAAAAAATACAAAGGTTGTTCGCTTTAATCGTCTACAGAAATAAAACCTCTCGATGAATTTCGCTCAAAATTTGACAGTAATCAGCTGAAAGACTATACTACTTGTCAAAAAGTAATGTGACATGACACTGCGAGTGCCCTTTGACAGATTTTCTAAGAATTTATTATTAACTTAATTCATGAATGCGACAGAAATAATTGACTGTGATTGATCAATTTCTTACAGCTTAGGGCTTCTTAAAGCGAGGTTGTGGACGCAGCCTTAATTTTGACATACATATAATATGTTATCTGAGTATCGGAGATTTGGACTGAAAAGTTTTTTTAGTTCAGTTCTGGTTACGATTTAATATATAAATAATGTTGAACAATGAAGTTACGGTTTAATTTGCTTGACTGGTGAAAAAAAAGCCAAAACTGCAAAAGTTTCGGTTATAATTACTCGTGCGCTCCCCCGCGTCCGTGCCGCACAATAAACAACTGAGCATATGAGTTACACATAGAATTTTTCAACGCTTTTACGTTAATTGTAGTTAAATTGTATTAATAAATAATTGCATACTTGTTTTCGATACGAAAAGTTTTATAAGAAACACTCACTTAACGCTTTTGTTGAAAAAGATATTGATCAACATTGCTTGTCTTCCATTTATAGTGACACAAAAAGTCTCGAGGCAAAAGTCGTTCTTTTTTGCAGTCTATATAACTTAGAATAACGAATTAAAAACAGAACAATACTTGTGTCACTAAATGAAAGGCGAGCAATGTCGATCAATATCTTTTTCAACAAAAGCGTTAAGTGAGTGTTTCTTATAAAACTTTTCGTATCGAAAACAAATATGCAATTATTTATTATCATCAATTATCTCTTCGATACAATACTTACGACTCCTCGCGCATCACCTCATTACAATTTCGCCTTTAAAACTCACCGTCAGTTCGAGGATCCAAAATCTTCGTAAGTTCGTAGCAAGAAGACTAGAACCAGAGGCGTTTTTTCGTTATGCAACCAGAAGCAACGGCGACTAAGGCTATCTTTGTCTTCTGATCCCTGAAAACAAAGATAGCCTTAATCGCGGTAGCTTTTGGTAGCTTTTTGGTTGGATAACGAAAAAACGCCTCAGGAGAGTGAACTCGGCCAAAAAGTGACGGCGGATAACTTCTCCCACTCTTGCGCTTCATTAGTCCTCCCTGTCGCTCTGACAGTCGTTTTCAATTCGTGACTGCGCATGTCAAACGAACCTAGTTTCTGTTCGATTGAATTAGAAAAGATAAAAAAAGATAAAACGTGTCAAAACATTTATCCTACGTGACTTTTACGATGACCGAGCGAGTGTGCTGTCTTCGTAATTGTTTCAATCCTCGAGAAAAAGAAAATCGGAAAAAAGGTTTAAGAGCGAGAACTTCTCGGTTATGCGCAAACTTTCACACAACGTGCAACGCCACTGCGCATTATTGTGCGAATAATTATAACCGCGGACGTTTTTTGACCTACCCCCCCACCGCGCCAGTTCACTCTCCTGGTTCTAGTCTTCTTGGTTCGTAGATTAGTGTCTCTTGACAATTGGGTGCTTTCCATTTGACGACACAAGTCGACACTTATAAGTGTCGTTCTATCTTTCTTGAGATTTAGAGATTGACAAAGATAGAACGGCACTTAAGTGTCGACTTGTGTCAACAAAATGGAAAGCACCGAATGTTTACGAGACGCGCCGCCCGAAAATCGGACGGTTCCGTCCGCGCTTTTAAAAGTCTCCGCTCGGCGACGCGGCGCGCGTCACAAACTGATAAGGCTGCGCGCGCATCGCGCGGCCGTTCGGTACTGATAGCTCGGTACGCTGGTAACAGGTGGTTCATCGCTATTGGCCGAGCGGCGGCG